CTTGGTGTATGTTTCCCATGAGCCCCTGTACCTTGTATCCTGTGTTCCTGTTCCTCTGCCTATCTGATTTGCCGGCGACTTTGCATTGTTCCTGACCCTGCTGACCGTCTCCTGTTTAACCCCTGGCTTGCCTGACCATCCTTCTGCCTGATCCTCTGTACCGTGCTGCCCGTGAGTTACTGAACCCGGCTTGTGACCCTGACCATTCTCTGCCTGATCCTCTGTACCGCACTGCCCGTGAGTTCCTGAACCCAGCTTGTGACCCTGACTATTGTCTGCCTGCTGCTTCGGTACCTCGCTGCCCTCACGTTGCTTACCTGGCCTGCCTGACTACACCTTACGCTACCCAGACGATCCATCCATCCTGCACGGATCCAGCCATCCCTGCTCACACCTTCTGCCTCTTCACATCAGGCTTCCTACCTGCATATACCTCTGGCGGATCCCTCTACCACGAGCAGGTGTACTCAGGGGCTGCGACCTGGTTCCTGTCTGCTCCAAGTCCATCCCCACCATCAGGGGCCCTGGTGAATAAGCAGACTGGGACTTAGACTCCGCGCCCTGGGGAATCCTGTCCTGAGGACTGCTAGGGGTATCACCAGACGGTCGTTAACAGAACCATATGGCCGGCCTGACCCTTCCACCTCTCCAGCCCTGACTGTGCCTGTGTTCCTGCACATACTAAGATTAGTGGAAGGTTGGTTTATTTACTGAGCATTGTATATTTGGGTAGCTAATAATAAATTATATTATTATATCATTCCTGAAGCCTGTTACTTCCCTGTGTCAGTCCACACATTTCTGGTCATACCCGGATGTCTGACACTTAGTCTTTGGCCATAGTCCATCTGGGGTGACGTTGAGTAGCACTTTAACCAATCCGGTCCTTAGTCTTTGGCCATAGTCGATCTGGGGTGAAGTTGAGTAGCACTGTAGCCAATCCAGTCCTTAGTCTTTGGCCATAGTCCATCTGGGGTGAAGTTGAGTAGAGAGAGGGTGGTTTACTGTCCAGGACATAGGAGGTAGTAATGGAGTGGTGATAAGTCCATGGCTTAGACTTGTTCATGAAATGAGGAAGTATGTAGGGTGAGGTGCTCTCTTAGGTACCAAAGATTTCAAGGCCACAAATCCATCTGAGAGCTGCTGGGGAGGAGTGTGCTAGAGGAGAGTACCCTGGATATTTAGCAAAAGTTCACATTTTACCATGGCATGAGTGTCTGTACAACTGCCCCTCACTGGTATATTGCTGCCCGTGCTCCCAGTGAGACCTTTACTCTTAACGCCAACAAATCTTGAATTTACTAGCTGTACCTCTACGTTCCTGTTATAGCGTCACAGGAATAATATCCCCTCCCTCCTAGATTGTAAGCTCGAAAGAGCAGGACCCTTGAACCCCTCGTGTATTGTTTGTTGCTGTATTGTCACATGTTCTGTCCCCCACTATAATGTACAGCGCTGAGCAAACCTTTTTGGCGCTATATAAATACTGTATAATAATAATAAATATGGTGGCACAGTTGATTAAAGTATAACTAAAGTCAAAACTTTTCATTTGTAGGGGAAGGTAAAACCCTGTCAGGTTATATTTTCCACTTGTGCCCCATTGGGTAGATTTCCTTACATTTCCTGTTCTGTAGACACAACAAGATTTCAGAGAAAATATTTCTTTCTCTCATAGACAGTTGTCAATGAAACAATTGTCCCCATTGGAATATTTCCCCTCTAATTTTGGTTACGCCCTCATTTTCAGTCCACGTGACAACAATCACCAGTAGGGATGAACTTAACCTCTTCTCACCGGCGCCTCCCAGCCCTTTAAGAGCTTCAGAAGCTGGGAGGCGGGGCGGGGTTTTAGGGTCATGTGACCGCCGTGATTCGTCATCATGGAGGTCACATGGTCGGAAAAGGTCCCGATCGAAAGGGGAGATTGGGACCTTTCTGGGAGTTGCGGACATATGTGCTGTGCTCTATATATATATATATATATATATATATATATATATATTACTGTATGTTGAAATGCGTTTTTTTATATATTACAAAATATATGAAAAATATTTTTAAAAAATATATTTTTTTTAAATATATTCTTCAGATTTTTTTTTACATATAAAAAAGTAATTTTAACATATATATAACATATTTTAACATATTTTTACATATATTTGTAAATGCATTCCAAAAATGTAGATTTGTATCTTTAAAGACATACAGTATATTTGAAAATGTATTTTTAAAAATATTTTTCATATAACTTTGTAATAAAAATGCATTTCAATATATATATATATATATGTATATATATATATATATATATATAATTTGTTTTTAAATATATCGAATATGGCCAAAATTGTAGTATTTCAAATATATGTCAATATATTTGATAATGATATTTTTAAAAATATATATTTCAAATATATTTCAAATATATTTTTCTTCCATATGGATTGATGAACTGATTTCACTGGTCCCACTCACTTACATGGCCAGGTGCAATCAAGCTGGGATGGTTTAAAAAAGAAAACCATGGGCAGGTTGCCACCTAATTCATGCTCAACACTTTAGATTCCCCTTAACCCTAATAAAAATCAAGGAAAAAAAAAGCATGCAGTCTGGTAGGCCAGGAAAGAGATGAGTAGTACTGTATATGAGAGTGAGATCAGTAGACAATTGGAGGACCAGGATGTGTATAAAAAATTAACGGGTGATCCCACTTGGAATATACATAAGCAACTAGAAGGAATCTTAAAACGAGCCCTTAAGGAGGATATAATCACTCAAGATTTATTTGAATACCTCTTACCTACACATACAAAGACTCCTGTATTATACACATCACTGAAGATTCACAAGGGTAGTGAAAACCCTCCAGGATTATTATTATTATACAGGATTTATATAGCGCCAACAGTTTGCTCAGCGCTTTACAATATAAAGGGAGACAATACAGCAACCAGGGGCGGACTGACCATCCGAGCACTCGGCACTGCCTGAGGGCCCGGGGTCAGTAGGGGGCCCCATGAAATGCCCCTGGTACCTTTTATAGGCTTTTTTGGGTGTGCTTTGAGTGTGGGCAAGGACACAGGGGCCCCATGATCCCCTATTGCCCGGGGGGGCCCATGAGTTGTCAGTCTGCCCCTGACAGCAACAATACAGTTCAATACAAGAGGGTTAGGAGGGCCTGATCCTTGGAGCTTACAATCTAAGAGGGAGGGGATGCCATATAGTCTCGGGTAGGGAATCTAACTTTGTACCCACTTCACAATTTTTGAACGAAATTCTATCTCCTCTGGTACGAGACAATACTTTATATATCAATGACACAAATTAATTTTTGAATAAGTTAAAATCTTTACCTGAATGTCATGAGGATGAAATTCTGCTGACATAGGATGTAAATAGTCTGTATACATCTATACCGCAGAAATCAGGGATCGGTGCAGCTACAGAGCTGATTAGAGGAAGAAATCTGTATTCACATGTATATAAACATCATACATTTTGCAGTTCAAAAAACTACTGGTTTTAATTTTGAGTAATAATTATTTTCTTTTTCAGGATACATATTTTCATCAGTTTAAAGGTGTTGCTATGGGTTCCAATGTCGCTCCGTCTTTCTCACGTGCGTTTATGCATGACTTTGAAAGAAATTACATATACAGTACGTAGAGGAGACATTCAAGAAACACTGCGTCACATGGTGGCACTACATTAATGATGTGTTCGGGATCTGGTGGGGCGACATTGGAGCACTATATGCATTTGATGACGTATTGGAATATTTTCAGTTCAGACATAAAATTCAGTATATATTTTGGTGGTAAATCGGTGTCCTTTTTTAGACACTGCGGTCTGTATTGAGGAGGGAAAAATAGAATATGATATTTTTGTTAAACCAACAGATAGGAATCAGTTGCTATCATTTGATCATTTCCATCCTCTGCATGTATTCAGATCTATTCAGAGTTAAAAGAATTGTTAGCAATGAAGAAAGGAATTAAAAAAAGAATAAGAGAAATGTGTCAATAATTCAGATATATGCAAAGTAAAAAGAATTGTTAACAATGAAGAAAGGTATTAAAAAAAGACTAGGAGAAATGTGTCAAAAGTTCAGACATCGAGGATATCCAGAGAGTACAACAAAAATTGGAAACATTAGTATAGCAATATGATCAGGAAACCCCCATATACAGATAGAAAACAAAATAAATAAATGTTTACCCTTTTCTATCTAATATCATAGCTATAGTGAAGACATTTTTAAAATTGTTAAAGAAACATTGGCCTCACTGTCTGCATAATGTAACAAATGCCTGTTTGTTGCCCTCATATTGTTACAATTATGCATTTTTTTTTTCCTGTGTATTATAGAAAATTCCCCTTTGCTGCCCATGTATTGTCACGCATGTCTGTCTGTTACTGTTGTGTTGTAAGAATCAGTTGTTTGTAGCCCCTACACTATAATGCCAACAGTATAAGGATGCCATTATTTACACGCACATGAACTTTAATGGCATCCCAGTCTTAGTCTGTAGGGTTCAATATTGAGTTGGCCCACCATTTGCAGCTATAAAAGTTCAACTCTTCTGGGAAGGCCGTCCACAAGGTTTAGGAGGGTGTCTGTGGGAAGGTTTGACCATTCTTCCAGAAGTGCATTTGTGGGGTCAGGCATTGATGTCGGATGAGAAGGCCTGGCTCACAGTCTCAGCTCTAATTCATTCCAGAGGTGTTCTGTTGGGTTGAGGTCAGGACTCTGTGCAGGCCAGTCAAGTTCCTCCACCCCAAACTCGCTCATCCATGTCTTTATAGACCTTGCATTGTGCACAGGTATATTGGAACAGGCGGGGGCCATCCCCAAACTGTTTCCACAAAGTTGGAAGCATGAAATTGTCCAAAATGTCTTGGCATGCTGACACCTTAAGAGTTCCCTTCACTGGAACTAGGGGGCCAACCCCTGAAAAACAACCCCACACCATAATCCCCCCTCCACCAAACTTTACACTTAGCAGAATGCAGTCAGGCAAGTACCGCTTTCCTGGCAACTGCCAAACCCAGACATGTCTATTGGATTGCCAGACAGAGTAGCATGATTGGTCACTCCAGACAACACGTCTCCACTGCTCTAGAGCCCAGTGGTGGCATGCTTTACACCACTGCATCTGATGCTTTGCATTGCACTTGATGATGTAAGGCTTGGATGCAGCTGCTCAGCCATGGAAACCCATTCCATGAAGCTCTCTACGCACTGTTGCACTAATCTGAAAGCCACATGAAATTTGGAGGTCTTTAGTTATTGACTCCGCAGACAGTTGGTGACTTCTGCGCACTCTGCGCTTCAGCATGCGCTGACCTAGCTCTGTCATTTTACGTGACCTTGCTGTTGTTCCCGGTTGCTTCCACTTTGCTATAATACCACTAACAGACGAGCGTGGAATATTTAGTAGCAAGTAAAGTTCACAGATGGACTTATTACACAGGTGGCAACCTATCACGGGACCACGCTTGGAGTCACTGAGCTCCTGAGAGCGACCCATTCTTTCACAAATGTTTGTAGAAGCAGTCTGCATGCCTAGGTGTTGATTTTATACACCTGTGGCCATGGAGGTGATTGGAACACCTGAATCCAATGATTTGGTGGGGTGTCCCAATACTTTTGGCAATATAGTGTATATTGTAATGATTTCGTTTTTAGGACCAAGTCCATTTGTTGTCCATGTAATGCCGCAATTAGACATTTGTTTCCTAGGTATTATGGTGATTTCCCATTTGTAGCCCACATACAGGTCTTTGGGCTATCCCGTATATTGTCAAGTCACCGTTCCTTGTTTAAAGACTGTAATACAATAATTTAATCCCAGTCACCATCAAACCACAACCCTGAACATGGCAGTATTTTGCCCATGCCCCCAATTAGTGCACCATTATTAACCCCTCATATTTTGCACCACTTACCCCCAGAGTTTTCTACGTGAACCTAAAAATAGATTTTGAGGGTATTTACTAAAACTGGAAAGTACAAAATCTGGCGCAACTCTGCATAGAAATCAATCAGCTTCCAGATTTTATTGTCCAAGCTTCATTGAACAAGCTGAAGTTAGAAGTTGATTGAGTACCATGCATAGCGGCACCAGATTCTGAGTGCTCCAATTTTAGTAAATCTCCCCAGTGGAATATACTCCACAATATGATATTGGGAAAGTTAGATATCTTCAAGCACAAGATATTTAGGCAAGGATCACACCCTTGTTGCACCCCACAATCACGTGGACCATGACGAATAACCCACTTGATTGGATTTCACTGCTACTTTTTATATTAGCGTTTAAAAATAACTGATGAAATTAAAGTTAGTGCAATATAAACAACCTTGGCAGTTATTGGGTACATTTATTTATACAGATCTCTACAACAGAGCTAAAGAATGAGGATCTGAATCCAACAGAAAGACAGATGAAGGACATTTTGGAGCTATGACTATCAAAAGCAAAAAGTTCCTCCTAAGCCCTGGTTCACATATATGCGGCCATGCGGGCCGCGTTTTGCATGGGCACAAGAGTCCATTCATTTGAATGGACTCCCCAGCCCCGAGACACGCAGGGATGAAGTCCTTGCACTTCTTCTGAAAACGCAGACTAAATCCAGCCCACTAGGCAACTTATTGACCTGGGTATTTGTGGGCTTTGTGCCCAGGTCAAGAAAGTAAGGCCTCCACAGTAATCTGAAAACTTGTCTCCGATGACACTTTTCTGGACCTTGTGGTACCTGCTGTCAGGAAGCACTTTCTGTTTTTAGATAGAGAAGAGGAAATGTTCATCTCAAATGAGTTCTTGCCCAAGAAAAAGTTATATTTTTCCTTGGAAAACGAAACCCGAAACCACACAGACTGGTATTCGCACACTGTTTTTCTTCTATAATTATACGAGCTATAAAAAAAAGCAGTGCAGAGCAGTTGATGAGACATCATGGTATGGGAACTTGGTATGGGGACTCCTCTCTTGGCTTTCTCTCAAGTGACAAATAAAACAGAAAATTCTCTTCTTTTTTGTAGTTTTGCCAGTTCTCACATGTAAAGCCATATTTCTCAACATGGCCCTTTTTCTAGACTTATGGTCTTGTAAAACAAATACAAGCAGGTTTATAGACTGGAACTATGGATGAAATGTACAGAATACATTTCGGGACATTTATCAAGCGTGAAGAGCATTGAGAATCAACCACAAGCCTGCTGGGCGATTTCCAACACTAGAGTTTTCCTGCGCAATGGTCCAAGGGAAGGATGCACCTGTCAGCCTCTCCTCAGCCTAAAATGTCTGTTAATGGAAAAAAGGTTACTTTTCAAATACACAGCAAATGTTTCTGCAAATTCATCTGCCATTTAGTCACAAAGAAACCTGGAACAAGCCTTGTAAATGAGTGTCGGAATTCCTTACCTCTATGTTTGTTTCAGGTCAGAGACCCAGAAAGGACTGAGGCTATGGTATCAGCATGAAGGCCAGATAATTAACATCCTCAAAGGAGAGGCCAGCACTGGCAGTCCCCTTACTTGAAAGAGTCACTTTAACCTCCCTAGCGGTCTGATTATGTCAATATTTCTGTGCTCAAAGCGGTACATTTTTTTGCATGGCCTGTAATTCTTAGGAATAACTCACTGAAATCTGTCCGAACAAGAGTCTAGTAAACATCCCGGGTATAATAAAATTTGAAACACGAAATCATAAATTATAATTTAATAAATAATCATAAAAAATAATAATATAATAATAATACATTTAATTCAATAATATAATCAAACCAAAAACACTGAAATTTGAAATACAGAGGCAAATTCGCACATCGCTGAGCAAAGTCGCAGAATCGTTTTCAGTGTCTGATGACGAATTTCCCCCACGAATCATTATCACTCAATTCTGCAAGTGGTTCTGATTTACTATCGCTGTTCTCTAGCCGGTCTAAAACCGCTTTTGACCTAAAGGGACGCTTTTTTGGACGCCATGGACTTTTCTAAGTTTCCAGGCAGAAAGAACAGTCAAAATGCAGGCAGGGCGCCAGACAAAGCACTCGGGACAAAATGTATGTGAAATGGTTTGATACAGTAATGCTATACTATGTGATTTTAGTGAATGTCACTTTTTGTCATTTTCACATTTCCCGCCGTTCTGTCCCCATACGTCCCGACGTCGCAGGGAATGGAACCCAGAAGACAGATGCCGGCATTTGCCGGAGGACATTACAGGGACACTGCAGGAGGGACATCGCGGGGGAGCGCAGGACAAGGTAAGTGATCGAGGGATCGCAGAGCAGCGCCGCAGTGTATTCCCGAGTGCAGCTCGGGGTTACCGTTTGTGGTACTGAAACTTTACCCCGAGCTACACTTGGGAATACCACCTAGGAGGTTAATGGAAAAAAAAGGTTACTTTTCAAATACACAGCAAATGTTTCTGCAAATTCATCTGCCATTTAGTCACAAAGAAACCTGGAACAAGCCTTGTAAATGAGTGTCGGAATACCTTACCTCTATGTTTGTTTCAGGTCAGAGACCCAGAAAGGACTGAGGCTATGGTATCAACATGAAGGCCAGAGAATTAACATCCTCAAAGGAGAGGCCAGCACTGGCAGTCCCCTTACTTGAAAGAGTCACTTCAACCTCCCTAGCAGTCTGATTATGTCAGTATTTCTGTGCTCAAAGTGGTACATTTTTTTGCATGGAAATATGTTGTTTTTTTATTGTAGGCCTGTAATTTTTAGGAATAACTCACTGAAATCTGTCCAAACAAGAGGCTAGTAAACATCCCGGGTAGGATAAAATCTGAAACATGAAATCATAAATTATAATTGAATAAATAATCATAAAAAAATAATAATAATATAATAATAAATGTAATTCTTTAAGGCCCCGTGGTGTATGCCATCCAGTCCAGGTGCTTTATTCACCTTTATTCTGTCTAAATATTTGTGAGCCAATGTGGATCATCTGGAGCTGTGTCAGTACCGAGCTCCCCCATGCTCTTTTGTATACACAGAGCTGAAGAAGGTATTTAATACATTTGCCTTCTCTGTGCCCCCAGTCACCCACTCTAGATTATTTTGTAAAGGGCCTACATGCTCGGACCGAACCTTTTTACTATTAATATATTTGAAGAATTTTTGGGGGTTGGTCCTGCTATCTTTTGCAATCTGTCGTTCGTTAGGTTTAAAAATCCCATTTCAGTCTTTGCAGATGAGCTGTGCAGTGGAATAACGTCCTTACAGGATGTCTCCAACTTAAAAGCCGACCTCAATGCTCTGTGTAATTGGGCAACTATGTGGCAAATGAGGTTTAATGTTGATAAATGTAAGGTTCTGCACTTGGGGGCTAAGAATAAGCATGCATCATACATACTAGGGGGGTACAACTGGGGGGATCAATGGTGGAGAAGGATCTTGGGGTTCTGGTAGATCACAAGCTTAATAATGGCATGCAATGCCAAGCTGCAGTTTCCAGAGAGAGAGATATCATTTCCCCCGGTACAAATCATTAGTAAGACCTCATCTGGAATATTCAGTTCAGTTTTGGGCTCCAATTCACAAAAAGAACATTGGGGAACTGGAGAAAGTACAGAGAAGGGCAACCAAACTGATAAGAGGCATGGAGGAGATCAGCTATGAGGAAAGATTAGAGGAACTGAATGTATTCTCTCTTGAGAAGAGGAGATTAAGGGGGGATATGATCTCCATGTATAATACATAAGGGGGGATATGATCTCCATGTATAATACATAAGGGGGGATATGATCTCCATGTATAATACATAAGGGGGGATATGATCTACATGTATAATACATAAGGGGGGATATGATCTCCATGTATAATACATAAGGGGGGATATGATCACCATGTATAATACATAAGGGGGGATATGATCACCATGTATAATACATAAGGGGGATATGATCTACATGTATAATACATAAGGGGGGATATGATCACCATGTATAATACATAAGGGGGGGATATGATCTCCATGTATAATACATAAGGGGGGATATGATCACCATGTATAATATATAAGGGGGATATAATCACCATGTATAATACATAAGGGGGGATATGATCACCATGTATAATATATAAGGGGGATATGATCACCATGTATAATACATAAGGGGGGATATGATCTCCATGTATAATACATAAGGGGGGATATGATCACCATGTATAATACATAAGGGGGATATGATCTCCATGTATAATACATAAGGGGGATATGATCACCATGTATAATACATAAGGGGGGATATGATCTCCATGTATAATACATAAGGGGGGGGATATGATCTCCATGTATAATACATAAGGAGGGATATGATCTCCATGTATAATACATAAGGGGGGATATGATCTCCATGTATAATACATAAGGGGGGATATGATCTCCATGTATAATACATAAGGGGGATATAATCACCATATATAATACATAAGGGGGGATATGATCTCCATGTATAAATACATAAGGGGGGATATGATCTCCATGTATAATACATAAGGGGGGGATATGATCTCCATGTATAATACATAAGGGGGGGGTTATGAT